ACCCCACTTGCAGATAATTATTCTTGTTCTCACTTAATTTTGACATATTTTTCAAAATAACACAACTTAATATCTGATATCATTTTGCATCTCCAGTAAATGTATCTTGATTTAAGGATGTTTAGATATTTGTTCTGGAAAACAAGACAGTCTATAGTTTCAACTGAAGGAGAAAATCACCTTTTTTGCAGCGAATTTCAGCAATCCAGTTTTGTATTTTTTTATTTTTTTTATTTTATAAACAGTTTAATTATTGCAAATGATAGAGATGATCCGAGTGCTTAATGCAGAGGAATGTGAGAGCATCACTGGAGCTTCATGAACTAAACCTGATCCTCATGTTCTCCAGCAGCATCCGAGAGCAACATCAGTAACATCTGATGACAAACACACGCTCAGCCTTTTCCCTCAGGCTATACTCAATCTGAACCAGTAAAACTCTCATAACATGATCTCAACTGAATAATGACTGCTTACTCTGGTGTTGCAGAAATGAATTTTTTTTTGCATCATTGCATCACTATTGTCTTATCATTGTAAAGCTGCTGTGACACAATCTGTATTTTATAGAGTGCTATATAAATAAAGGTGACATGATAACTTTACATTTGTACATAACATATCTCAGAATTGTGCATCTGTAAATAGCATATCTGTACATCTGTTTGTATATTTATTTATTTATGTGTCTTATTATTATCTAAAATTAATATTATTATTGTGTTATATTCCATTTTATTGCCTAATTCCTATGTATGTCTGTACTTTCTTCTGCACTGGAAGTGTGTGTGTGTGTGTGTGTGTGTGTGTGCGTGCGTGCGTGCGTGTGTGTACTTTTAAAGACTTGTGTGTGTGTGTGTGTGTGAACGTCTTCTCACTGAAATCAACTGGATGTGAGGAGCAGCAGACCGAGCTCATGAGGATGCAGATGCTTCATAACATGTCTAAAATATTTTAAAAACTGCAACTTCATGCATTATTTTCCTGATTCATTTAAATCCACGAAAAATAGTCAAACATGTGATTCTAACCAGACTTGAGCAACTGATTCACAGCAGCTTCATGAAAACTCATTGAGCTCAAACACAAGGTCATGGGCTGGATTCTCAGGGAATGCTGAAGTCATAACATCTATACCTTGAATGCAAAGTCAATTTGGATGAAATGTCTTTTGAATGCAGTTAATGCAAAATCTTTACAGAGGCCATAGAGAAGCAGTTCATAACATGCATGAAACCTGCATTTCCTAACCCTAAGCCTAAAAGAAAATGTAAGTTTCTACATTATATTTAGTAGTAGCTTATCAGTGGTGACGATCTCAAGTTGATGTCCATATGGCAGAAATGTACGGTAAAAATCAAGCAACTTTTAAGCATCTGCTCAAGTTCTTTCTGTCAATTGTTTACTTATTTGTTACTGGACAATTTAAAAAACGTAAAACCCTTTAAGTTGAATTTTTTCTGTGTAATACTCTGTTCTGGGTGTTTTCCTCCAGTCTGATGTGAAACGAGTCTCTGTGATCTTCTGATCTTCTGGAGGCACAGGTTCCTCCTTCAGTGTGATTGTACAGCTGTGCATCTAATTCACTTTAGTGAAGCAGCAGCACACATGATCTGAGGAGTCACCGTGACTGATATTACACAGCAGTTCAGAGGAAATACTGTCAGACACAAACGCTGACTTCCAGGGGCTCGTGACAGGCTGACAGTGAAATTACACGAGAAGAGAGAAGGGACAGTGTGAATGTTCTGATGGCCGCCGCATTATCCAGCGTTTGAGAATAAACAGGCAGGACAGACGCTCATCATTTATGGCTTTAATACAAGCATCAGTGGCAGCATAAATGTGCTCTGAGCGATTCACAATCTCAGAATCCCCGGCGTGTCCCTGCTGTGCTTCTATTCTAGAAACGCTTTGTGCTTTTGCTGAAGCCCTTAAAGACAAATCCCTGCTGTCAAATGCTATCTTTGAAGGCCCAGAGCTTTGTGTTGCTGGTAGGCTTTTGATTATTATTTGCTCAGCAGAACGGAATATCATACGTGAGGCAGATTAATGGGTCGCATTACATCGATTTACTCCAACTAAGGTTAAAAAGTCTTCATAATTCTCACGCAATGCGATGAGATTCCATATTCAGTCACTGAAATATCTTCATTTAAGCTTAATAGAAAGAAACAGACTGACTGGAGAATTTCTGCACAAACTAACGCCGCTTCTTGTTCATTTCAAAGTGAATGTGGTGCAAATGTCAAAATGCATTAGTTTAGAAATCTTGTACTATGATAGAAGTGTTTTGAGCTCATAACATAGTATTGTGCACTAAACCACAAGAAAATAAGGCTTTATTAATCAACAATCTGCCTGTAATCATAATTTGTGTAAAAGAGAATAAAAGCTGTCTGTGTTTTCCTGCCACTGGTGTTCATTTCAGCTGGAAACGGCAGTGAATTGTATGAATAGGTATGTTTTTAATGCAGTCTGTGTTGGAAAGAAATGAACGAGGAGAGGCTGTTTTAGTCAATAACTGCAGGTGTCCTCTACTGTAGTTATTCAGAACTAAACTAAACCGCAAGATCTGGCTTTATAACGTTATATGTCCATTTCATAACATTATCTTACACACGTGAGTAATATATACACTTTATAGAAACATACCTCGTTTATTTCTGAGTCAGACCTCAAGCTTTTCTTCCACTGCATTCGGGAACGATGGATCTGGAGACACAGACAGAGAAAGGCTGAATTCATGATCTTTACTGATTTATTTGGTGCGTATTATAGACATAAATCAAATCAAATGGACATTAATTCAAAGGAGTTGACAGCTGCATTACAGATTGCTAACAGAAAGTAATGAACGACATGGTTTAAGGGGGCAACATCTTTTAGATAATTATCAGATGATAGAATTAGTAATACATAACTAATGAGGGTTTGATAAGAGTGACAAACTCTTAAAAATAAAGCTTCTTTGCTGTTATTTGTGGCTCCATGAAGAACCTTTAACATCAGTTTCAACAAAAGATTCTTTAGTTTATAGTGGTTCCTTTAGATGATGAAAACTGAATACTGAAAGGGTCTTTGAGAACCAAAAAAGGTGGCATCACTGCAAAAACACACATTTGAAACCTTAAAAACACATAAATGTACACTACATCTAACTAAAATAATAATAATACATTTTTAAAAAAGTCTTGAGCAGAGCGTCACCACCCTTAAGGAACAAAAATATATGGGAATAAACTGCAAAATTTAATATACATTTCCATATATTGGAAACTTATATTTTTCAATATACAGCAATGTATGCATTGGCAATATATGGCTATATACTGATACATACAAATATATTTAGATATGAAGACAAAGATAAATGGAATATTCATAACGTTTGATCCTTTATGGAGTATATATTGCACATGGATGCTGCCATACAAATATAAATGTACGTACACATATACACACAATCACGGAATGAGTTAAAGCATATCTCTAGTTCCCAGCATGCTTTGCTTCTCACTGTTAAAGCAGAGTAACCTTTTCTTTTAATGAAGTGTTATGTCATGATGTGTTTTTGCTCAGTATGAACAGATCTGTTAGTGTTTAATGCTGTATTACTTTAGGTATCTTTTAAAATATGAAATGTATATCATAAATGACTGTTAAACATATTTCCATATATATGTGTGTATATACTGCATGAGTAAATGTGTTCAATATATTTATACACATGCAGTACCATATCTTATCACATGTACATCTATATATTATAAAGTGTATTGCTGAATATCAAATGACATATATTGTGATATATAAATGAATATATTGTCACATATTTTTCACTTTCTGTAGTCTGTTACCTGAAGCAGTAAACCCATCAGAGATCACACATTAGTATGAACAGCAGAACAACAGATGAATAACGACTCTCAGTGCAGCAGAGAAGTCTTTCCAGTGACGTTCAGTGTTATTCACTTTAGCAAGCATCAGAATGAAGCAGCAGATTTGTCAGCGTGCTGCTGCTCATATTTCCCTGATGACGCCGATGGCTAATAAACCTCCAGCACTTGAACATGACAGATAAACACACATGTTGGGTTGACCTCTGTCTCCGGAGCTGGACAAACACACAGCCTGCCGTCAGACGAGCGCTTCACAGAGGGACACGATCAGCTCTCTCCCACTGTCTCGCTCTGTAATTCAAGCATGCAAAACCACAAGAGCCTCTTCAGTCTCGATCAGTTTTTACATACATAATAGAAAAAGCATGTAAAAAAAAAAAGTCTTACTAAATATTGCCATCATTTTTCAAATTGAGATGCCTGGTAGGAGCGTTTTCACTGGTTTTCTTTTATTTGTTGGTCTGTGCCACTGCTGTTTTATTTTTAACAGAAATAAACATTAATAAAACCAAGGAATAAATGCAAACTGTACATTGCCATTGAAAACTTTGGGGTAAGAGTTTTACTTTTTTTTTTTTTTTTTTTTAAATGTCTCCTCACTTTTGATCAATTTAATGGATAATTGATGAATAAAAGAGCATGAATCTGAGTTGGCTGCTGATGTTGCAACTCTAAACATGTTATTTCATCTTACTGGCTGTAATAAACAAAACATTTAGCCATATTGTATGTAAATTGTTATTTCACTAAATTATCATATTAAGTGCACATGAGTTTGCAGTAACTGAATATGTGCTAAACTGATTTTGTTGGAGTAAAGGCACAGATGATTAGGGCTGGTCTGATGGTCAGTGTTGGGTGTGTGACACATTAATGAGCCGCTCACACACACATTTAATACTGCAGGACCTTTAACTGATGCCATTAGCGGCTCATAGCGCTTTCACACAGACCTGCCCTTGAGACCGGCGTAATTACACCATCATGACGTCTGTGCTTTAATATCTGCTGCCATTACTCACACACAGACTGGATCATATCGCCGGGTGATAACGGGCTGGACGCTTTGAGTTTGGACACTTGATGTGTCTGAAAAACAAAGAAAGAACAGACTGAATGTTAATTTGACTGTTGTGTACGCGCTTAAAGAAACAGTTCACCAAAAAAATTAAAATATGTGTTCACCCTCAGTTCATCTGAGATCAGGATGAGTTTGTTTCTTCATCAGGTTTGTAGAAATGTAGCATTGCATCAGTGACCATACATCAATGGAAAGCTGAATTTTTTTCAGCTTTCAGATGATGTATACATCTCAATTTAAAAAAAAAATGGACTCCCTATGACTGGGTTTGTGCTCCAGGGTCACAAATGTGACTTGACTCCATCCACAATAATGGATGATGAATATCATCAAACAAACATCACTTGTAATATTTCAGCTCTTTGTAAATCACGACTTTAAACATTAAAGCGTCTCTGCATCGCCGCACGCAGCCGGAGCGTTCTGTGATAATGCGTTCCTGCAGGGCCGGACACAAAATAGCACAACATTCCCGGATTTAAAACTGAAGGTTAATGCACATAATGAGGCCTGTAGGGCTCGTGGTGTTTCCCGTCAGCGTGGAGCAGCGCAGGTGCGTCTGACCTTGAGCGGGAGCGCGTTCATGTCATGTTCTGTCCAAACCTGCAGAAACCGCTGGCTTCGGCCAAGCGTCGCCGGTGGATCTGAGCAGGTTCATCACGCCACGCCGCATCAGCAGACATGTCACGGCGCGACAGGCCTGAGGCGCTTCTCCATTAGCTGCGCTTTACATCATCTACGAGACACAGGACTGACCACTAACCCTCCACTGAGCATCTGATAACAGAGTCACGCTTTATTTCCATAGTCCACTTCACACATAGCTTCACAGCTAACAGGGAACGTTCTCTCTAAAGTTTGCTCAAATAAAAACATATAAATGTTAGGACAAAACATTCTTGAAGCAATGTGTATGGAACATTCTCATAACTTTATTAATATTTCACATACGTTTTCAAAATGTTGATAGGAAATCAGAACAACATTCTCGGAGCGTCCTCATGAGGTTGTTTGTATTTGAACATTCTAAGAAACCTTTTTATGACCTTTAAGTAATGTTCTAATCATGAGAAGAAAACTGGACATCTTAACATTCTTAGAATATTAAAAATAAACATAAAATAAACAAAAATAAAATGGTGACACTTTAGTATAGGGACCAGTTCTCATTAGTTGCTTGAGCATGTCTATTATTAACATATTGGCTGTTTATTAGTGCTTTATTTTTGTGTTTGTTTACTCTGCTTGACCATATTCTACATCTCTAACCCTACTCAACACCTAATCTTAACAACTACCTTACTAAGGATTAATAAGCAGCAAATTAGGAGTTTATTGAGGCAAAAGTCGCAGTTAATTGTTTGTTAATAGCGAGAATTGGACCTGTGTGAACAATAAAATTAGTAGACCGCTGTAAGAAACAAATTTAAATAAAGTTAGAATCACGACAAGAAAACTAGAGATTTTAAAGTTTTAGAAACACTCAGAAACATTGTTCCCACAACATTTTTATAACCTAAATGTGTTACCGGGTACATGTCAACTAACTCTTCTTATTAGAGTATTAGTAGACTGTTAGGTTAGGGTTAGTAGAATAAGTTGAAATGCACTTATAAGTGACTTATAGTCAGTTGAATGTCCATCAAAATAAAGTCTACTGATACTCTATTGACTGCTAGTTGACATGGAGCTGCACAGTTACTTATAGTTATTCAGAACAAAGTGTTAACCAGGTCTAATCTGACAGAACGAGAGTTCAGAGGAAGAACTGGTCACTGGATATGACAATCTTACCAGGTTACTCTGTAAAGGGCCACTTGCACCCAGAACGACAAAATATAGAGGAATTATATGAGTATAATGATGTACATCCAGCCGGTTGTTATCGCAGAGTAAAGCCTGACAGAGTAAAACACAGAGTAGACTGAAGTTGGGCTCAGGTTGTTGTGCTGTGGGATGCAATGTTTACCATATATTGATTTATTTGACCGCCTCAAATAACGTTAGATTTTTCAAAAGGCTTTGCCTTCATTGAATAAACATGAGCACTGCAGGTTTTCAAAATCTAAACATGGCACGGATGTTTTTATATCACTGAATAAGGAAACTGACCGTCATCAGAAATGTTTTGATGTCATTTTCCTTTCATCTGGCCTGTAATGTCTGATAAAGTACAGCCGTTACCAGGGAAACCGCTATCTCTGCCGCTACAACAGCGCCTCCTGCTGGCTGAGAATCAATCTGTATTTTCAATAAACCCGTCTGATTTAGCAGAAAACATATTTTGCTTGTTGCCAGAATAATCTACTCTAGAAGGACTTTGCTGTTGTTATTGACTCTTTGCAGAAGTTAAGTTTGGGCCACACAAGTGCGCATGCGCAGTAACGCTTGTTTATGTTGTTGCCGTTGAAACCGTCCATAAAACACGATTTTCTAAGTTACAAATTATTGGAGTCTGTTTTACAAGAAAATACAATTTCAGTCTTTCTACATCAAAATTTCACATTTGTTACTTGATGCTACTAGCAATTTCTGAGGGAAAATAGCTTCAGCACTTTTGTTTCTACAACAACATGTTCTCAGCGATGTAGTGGCACTAAACTCAGAGCTTTGTTCGAGTTGTTGTTGTTAGTTACTCAGTAGTAAGTGAACTAGACACAGATTCTGATTTCTTCCTGAAATAATCAGCACTTTTCCACTCACTAACTGTCATCCGAAGCGCACACATAAATACGACACCGACGGCGTGCGATCCTGATAAATATACACAGAATTACAGTAATTAAGTGTTCACACAAACATAATCTGTTCTGTCTGAAGCGAATGTTTGGGCAACTGTTGGGGAAAACATCTGATGTGTAACATTATATTAGATCCGTGCGTTACAGCAGGTCTTAATATAGAGGCCGTCTGTCTCATTAAACTTAATCTAATGATACAAGAAAAGAGGGAATCATTCGCTGCACTCGATTGAGCTGCTTTTGTAGATTTAATAATGAATACACTAAAGGGATTTTTACATTTGAGTATTTGTTTTTCTTAGTTGAATGCTTTTGTTTAGATGTTAACTGAAAAAGGCAATGCATTACTTGTTTCTTTCTTATATTTGTTCTACTGTTGTTGTTGTTGTTGTTTTAACAAAGATACAATAAAAATAGCTATTTCATGAATATTAATTTAGCAATTATTGTTAAGAAAAGAACTGGAGGAAAAGATGCAACGTTGCTCTGTGATTTTGCTTCGCAATCTTCAGAAAACTTTAACTCGATTTTTCTCAAAATTGACTTCAAACGTGTGTAGCTCAGTCATTTTTTTGTTCGATTCCAACAACTCATACATCAGGTCTTTTGAGAATGTGAGAATAACTCATTTTTGAAAATGTGCTCATTGTGACTCAGCACAGGTCACGTATGTTCATAACAGACGGATATGGAGCATCACTACCCGTTTTGTCCAGTTTAATCGAGGTTGCCGGAGCTCACGCTGGTCAGTAACTAGCTCCTCGTCTGGGAGCCTCGTTAGAGCAGCGTTGAGCAGGGCTGGATTCTGGAGGCGTTGCCGTGGCAACAGCGTGACGCATTTCCTGAAAGCATTCTTCAGATCAGTTCAGTTGTTTTGTTCTCATCTGATCGCGTCAGTGCAGTAATCTCAACCTGAACTCAAACCAAACAACTTTCTACCTGTCTTCTAACGTTTTGCCAGTAAAGTGTGTTTGTGCTTCTGTCTTTACGATAAATGACTCTTGATTTGATTATTTATCTAACACAAAGACATTCAGATGTTAAGTGTAACTAAAGGCTCTCACAGGAATCTGCAGGTCAGGAATTTGGTTGTTTTGAACTTTTCCTGGTGAATCAGCAGAAAGTTGTTCAGTTTGACCTCTGTTTCACATACACTTCACGTCCGGTTCGTCTGCGTCACCTGCAGAAGTAAATGAACACAGAGAAAGATCCTAGTCATTTGAACAGGATTCTGCACACATGTCCTTCTCTTTCTCTGTCCCGAGGACAGTTCCGGCTCTCGCTGTGGTGAACCTCACGTATTTCCTCACATACCTGACATGAACCAGCGACTGAGTCAGTGAAACGAGTCTCCGACCAGCTGCAGTCCATTACTGAGTCTCAGAACTCAAACACATATCAATGCCACTGACTACGATAAATAGAATATGTTTTTGTCATTCTGATTTCACCGTATGGAAAAGAGTAGTGTGAACATTCTGCTGAACATCTGACTTTGTGCTTCACTGAGGAAAGAGAGTCATATGGGTTTGAACTTCATGAACGGAGCAAATGATAACAGAACTGACACGTTCAGCTGACGACACACACACACACACACACACACACACTGATCTTGTTTTTCAGTCACCCATTGGGCTCATATGAAGGCAGCAGGTTTTTCCGTGTGTATGAGTGTTTGTCCACATCCTCGCTGTATTTTAGGAGAGGAGGATCTAAATGTCAGATAAAACGAGCCGGAGCTCAGTGTGGATGTCTCTCTCTCTCTCTCTCTCTCTCTGCGTCAGCGTTTGTTCAGCCCACCTATGATGAGTCAGTCTCCCACTCGCTGAACACAATCAGCCAATCAGAGAGCTCACTGCTGCCGCTGCTGCCGTCAGAGCCTTGGAGATCAGCACACTCACACACACTCACACAGACACACACACACACACTCACACACACACACACACACTCACACAGACACACACACACACACAGACACACGCACACACTCACACTCACACAGACACACACACACACACACACACAGTGTGTCTGTGTGTGTGAGTGTGTGTGTCTCGTTGGCTGTACCTGTCCTATGTACTCACGCGTGTAGCTGCTGTGTTTCTGTACTGAAGAACATCACCGTGCTGAAGTCTCACACCGATCTGCTCGTAACCAACATAACCAACACCTTCACCAGGTTAGAGCAACGACAAACCTTCATCCTCTTCAACTCATCAACATCATCTGTTAAAATCCAATCAAACACAAATGCTGTGATTTCCTCCCGCTCCTCGAGGGAGGTCTGCAGCAGAAGGTCGAGTCTTTCTGGAGAGCAGCTTCTCGCTGGTGGCACTGAGCTGTTTGAGGAGGCGCTTTTATTTCCACTCAGTGAACAAATTAACCCCAAACCGCTGCATGAATGCAGTTTAATGAAGATGAAAATCACTGTGGTGGAAATAAGAGAGTTCTGCAGAATCAAACGGGGTTAAAGGAGAGGAACGAGACGCTGAGTGAGATAAAGAGAAGGCAGACGAAACAGCTGGGAAACAAAGAGTTAATTAACTTAAAACAATAAAGCAGCCGCTGCAGAGCATGCTTAAGTTTACAGCAGTTGTAATTCTGCTTACTAATTTTTGCACATTATATTTGTTCAGACAAACTAATGTTTAAATCAACTCTTCTCAGTAAATACAGTAAGACTTAAGACAGTAAGCATTTGTCAAATAAACTACTTGATTAACTTCATTTTGGTTCATTTAAAATTAAAACTGTTTAGCGGCTGAACGTTAATTAAATTCAATAATTGAACAAACCAAACCAAAAGAAAGATCATGCAATTTTACAACATTTTACAATAAAACACACTGAATCTCCTGCATGTCTTCTGGTTGATAGTTTAGAGTGTTTTATCAGTCAAAGCTCTTTTCCTGGAGATATAGAGCGATGACTAGGGGCAGAAAATGTCTGGAAAGTTTCAGAAATGTTCCGCCCCGTTGCAACCATAGTAACTGACAGATCATTTTATGAGGGGCAGAAAATGTCTGGAGAGTTTCAGAAATGTTCCGCCCCGTTGCAACCATAGTAACTGACAGATCATTTTATGTCAGTATCTGCTGCACTGTTATAAAGATCTCATTGTTTTACGTTACAAGCGTCAGAATGTCATCATATAAATATCAGCATCTGCAGCAAATTCATGTTTTTGCTCAGTTTGAGTTTCTGAATAAAATTCAGCTGTTTTTTCCTCCATATTCTCACTATTAACCTGATGGATCACATATGATACAAAACATCAAAAACTTGTTTCAAACATCATCGACTGCACAAAAAACAAGAAAATGTTTGGCACATGAAATTAACCTAATAACACAACAATACTGTAACCTCAGTAATGAAGCCGTTTCACTTTCTCTGCTCCACAATTAGCAGCTGATCCAGTAACGAGTGTCTGTGGAAGAGACGTGATCCTGAGCTTCAGTGCAGATCTACAGGAAGCTGCTCAAAGCTCACTGATTCACTTCCTGCGGCCGCTCACAGACTTCCTTCCTGTTTCCTGGAAGTGTGTTTCGTGTGTTTGAGTCACTGTCTACCGCTTCGGCTCTGTTACACACACCGGGACGAGGGGCAGGGGCTCAAGTGGAAAAAAGGGCACTTCTCATATTTACTTTAATATTTTTCTAAACAAAATGTTAAATATATTAACACAACTCTGACTTACTTACCAATTGATTTTAATTCCCTCACATTCACCCAATTGTTTCAAGTTGTTTCATTTTCAACAGATGTCTAAATAATCAGTTCAGAGACCATGGTCTTCTTTAATTTTATCACAAGAACAGGCAACAACAACGGTGCCGCAATGTGCATGTTTTCTATGCTACTAGTTTCAAGTATATATTTAGTTATTTTGTTTATTCATCTGCAATGCCTTGTGTCAAATGTATGCAAATTAGCGCATTTTAATTACTTGTGAATGTCAATCATTATATCAAGGCGGGGCTCGGCAACAAGACGCACAATAGGTCAATATTCCTCATCTGCTCTGTCTGTCTAGGCTCAAGGCTTTGTAATTGTGTTCTCAAAACTTTATAATAATGTTCTGTCATAATACTTTAGATTTTTTGTTAGATTTTTTTTCATTTACATTTTAATTCTTCTTCATTACATTAAAATTTTAGCTGCAATTCTGCATCCTATTGACTTCACTTAAAATTCAGGAATTTTATCTAACACAACTAGACTGAAACAAATGAAGAAGCATCAGGGAAAGAAAGAAAGAAAGAAAGAACTGAAAATTTGAGTGTTTACTATTATCATTTTGCATTATTAACACACTATTTTCCTAATTAATGCTGTACAGTTGCTTTGACACAATCTGTATTGTTAAAAGCGCTATATAAATAAAGCTGACTTGACTTAGACAGGAAGTGATTGTTTGATTGACATGAGAGGAGACGAACAACAGTCAAGAGTGGTGTGGAAAACATTCATTTGAAACACTAAAGCAATCTCTGCAAATGTCTGTGTGGAAACTGAAGAGATGCGTGAAGATCCGCTGATATTTCAGACTCACAGTCTGCTGCTGAAAGCTGCCAAACACAATTACTAGTCCTTCCTCAAAATATTAACCTGCTACTTTTAAAAATGATTTCGTTTCCTGGCAGACCGACACAAACTTTTGCAACTTTAAACGAAACCAAGCCGTCTGCATTCATACAGTACAGCAGGATCGGTTGTGTGGGCGTTGGGTTGGGCGCCACACACACACACACACACACACACACACTCCTATAGAGCCCTACCCATAATGCTGTGCCAGACGGGCAGCAGGGCATGAGAAACAGCAGGTCTTGGGTGGGACCGGGATGATTCCACCTCTCCATTTACTGACCCAGAACATGAGAGGCAGACGCACAGACTTCTGGGAAACGCTGGCGTCAGTGCTTCTGGCTGCGGCTCGCTCCTCGTGTGTAAAGCAGTGAAGCAGAACGAACGCAACACACTGCGTGAAGAAGAGAAGAGATCAGTATAGAGAACAAATCAAACGCTAATCTAACCAGTGTCAAAGATCATCACTGACCATGGCAGATCCTAAAGTGTGTGTGTGTGTGTGTGTGTGTCTGTGTGTGTGAGTGTGTGTAAGTGTAAGTGTGTGTGTCTTTGAGTGTGTGGGACTGTGTGAGTGTGTGTGTGTGTGTGTATGTGTGTGTGGGCGCATCACTGATTTGTTGACTCCTCCCTCTTTTTGTGACAGGCATCAATGTATCTTGCTGCTAGTAAGATACAATCTTGTTTTTCACCTAATAAATATTGAAGTTGTGTTTTCTTGT